CTGAGAATATTAGTTTCAAGAATATTAATTTGATTTTCTAATTCTAAAGCTGGCCATACACGTAAAGATTTTCTTTCGAGGATTTTTGTTTCAAGAATATTCGTTTGATTTTCTAATCATATTCTTGTTTTCAAATGTAAGTTTAAATCGAGTTCCAGTGAAAATGAAAATAAATAAATAAAAGTCAGCAGCTACAAAAATTGTAAAAAATGGACACTTAGCTGTCCCTCAATTCCTCGGTGTCCCCCTGCAGCCCGTTTTACCGACCGCCCTGTGTTTCCGGCGCCAGCATCTTCTGCTCACTGTGCATGCGCGAATAGCATTGCACTTTGTGAATGGTCCTGTAGTCTTCTGGGATCTGTACTGTGTCCCAGAAGACTACGAAGAGGCAGGGGGGGGAGGACAACATCTGTCTCCAATCGCCTAGGTGATCGCAGAAGATGTAAGAGCGGGTACCTGTCAATTTCAGGTACCTGCTCCCCCCCAAAGGTGCCAATCCTTAATGAGGGGTGGGGGACCAGTCCTTAAAGTGGAACTTCCCCTTTTGGGTGGAGCGCTGCTTTAAATTTGTTTTCGATTGTTTTTTCTATTTTGTTTTCAAATTAAAATTTGTTTTTAAATCAAATTTTGGCCAAATTTCATTTCACGCATGCTTGGAAATGAAAAAATACAATTCAACACATTACATTGTTGCAGGAAGTTTTATTCTGTCTTACAAGAATTTTCGTATCTCTAGTAACCTATTTGTTTTCGATATAAGACTAACAAAAAAACGGACGACCATTCCTCCAATATTCTCATTGTGTGTAACAGGCATAACAGGTACTGTATTTTTCTGTGCTAGCAGAGTCTTTAAAGGGATAAATCATGGGAAAATGCATGTATTGCAGAGATGTATTGCATGTTTTTTTGCCCTGACATTCACTTTAAATTTTGTTTTTCAGTTATTATCTAAAAGCACCATTTACAGAATTAGATTTTTATGCCTTGACATAATTTATAACTTTTTATGTTCTGTTCATTAAAGCAGAACTTCCCCCTGAAGGGGAAGTCATGGTTTATGCTCTCTCTCCCCCTTATTCTTTTGGGAGGGGGAGAGAGGGGACTGTGACGACCGCGGCATCAGACCCCAGCCCTTCTCACCAAACTCATGACCGAAGGACTAGCCAATCTAAAACCGCGCTGTCACATGCGTAACAATGCCACGCTCAGCTGCACCCTGCACAAAGATTTTCCAGCTAATGGACCATAATCTGTACACCTGCAGCCTGGGAGCAATTGTTACTGGGTCAGGTTAATTACGCAATTAACCCTTTACACTGCCACCACCTCTTTTTGTACAGAGAAAGAGGAAACTCGGCAATATTAGCAATACACTATGATGTTTGAATAATCATTTGTATACACAATGTAACCACAGACAGATGTATGCAGACGTTTAAAACACACAGTAGCGCACAGTAGAGAGATAGAGTACCTGCCAAAAGTCCTGGGTTAAGAGGATCAAGTTTCAGAGCAAAAGGGCCATCTCCCAAGTTGGTTCCGATGTTAAAAGGGAGAATTCTTCTACTTCAACATGACCTACTCCACTTAACTTTCTGCTCCAAGCATAACAGTTTTTTCTAGGAACTTAGCAGGGTGTCTCCTTGAAGCAGAGAACCAATCGCCTCATTGGGGAGGGTGCTGCAGGTGGAGACCCAAGCTAGAACCACAATCCCTCTCAGTTTATATCATGATCAATAACTTACCCTCGGTGCATGTAGCAGCCTTGCCACTAGTAGATTAATATGCAGAATGATCTGCTGAACATCCAGATATTAAATATGACATACCTTCTTGGGACGGTTAAGGAGATATCGTTTTCTGCTCTCCTGTAGATTCCAACTGGGGGGGTAAGGTATCAGACGACTTGTATTAAAGTGACCGATCTGAATATATGCCTGGTTTCCTTGTAAGTCTTCCATATCTCCAGATATAAAATTACATGGAAAAGGGGATTTTTAAATGTGAGTCTGTTTTACAGCTAGCTGGAATGTCTTTGAAGCTCAGTGAAGGACTGGCTTATGGTTTTACGATATCTCAGATAGAGAAGCTAGACAACAGATACCTGGGCACCAGCTAGGTTGGGATTTATAACCATGGAGCTCTCCCACTGTGCCTGTGATCTCTGGCATCATACAGACCACATTCCTGAGGGATGGGGGGGGGGGGGAATTGGAGGGAAGCTGATTTAGGAGCAGAAATGATACAAGATGGAGGATCCTTAGCAAGATGGATGACCGCGTCTATCTCTGTATGCACTATTGCTACAGGGACCTCAATTTGATACTTCCCACTTTCAGTTGGATTGCCCAGGCCATTCCTCCAGGCTACTCTGTGAGCAGTAAAGAGGTTTGTAGGTGGCTCACTCTATACTATACATGTGACAGGCACATGCAGCAGAGCATCCCTCCTAGCCAACAGAGCTTCAAGCATTTAACTGGTTCTTGCACCAAGCTCGCACTAACCACGTGCACGGATGTAGCGCTACCCCTGCAGGAGGTGTCAACCTCTCTGACTCACCTGGTTGGATGTAGGCCTATATGCATATATAAATAGAGCCACCAAGCCCACCGAGACAAGGCCGGATATCCAGCGATAATGTTCTATCAGAGAAACAAATACCAAAGCAAGCAGTAATATGTGATTTGATTTATTGTGAGTTAAGCCAGTTGGTAACCAGATTAACATAGGATGGGTTGAACATAGTATCAACATTAAATGAGGTAATGCAATGTTTTAGTTTGACCTTCAAATCAGTGTAAGCAGTAACCATGCCACCATTGTACAGTGATAAGCAGCGTAGAGGGTGAACTAGCAACAGATAAGGCTATACTGCTAATGTGTATTGATGGCAGCTCTGCTAGGCCTAGACTGATTGGATTGGCAAAGACCAAATAGAAATGACTGAATAAAATTATGAGGACTGGCGGGGTAAAGTGAATGATAAATGGGAGTGGCAGTCTCTGATTTGATTCTTCTGCTGGGTATTGTTGGGGCCCTTGAAGAACAGTGGTGTGATTGATAAAAGTCCTCATGAAAACCTTAATGCAGTGAATGAATGTCAAAGGCCTGCTTATTTCAGTATAGCACTTGATGGCTGCAGTCAGTTATAATGGCAGTCTAATAGTCTTTTGACTCTGTTTCTTTGGGAAGGGTATAGGTTAGTATCAATAATATGAGATATGAGTGTAATCAAGTGTAATGGATTCTGATGTCTGAGTGTCCTGCTCTCAGTGGCTTTGTGCATTAAAGCAGAAAGAAACATGGGATTGTGGCCCTCTCCCCAACTTCTAAGGCTTTAAGGTAGGTTCTTGTGATAGAAGGAGCCTTCTCAACTCTGCTCAGATGTAGCTAGTGAGCATATGGAATGCTTGGGTCTCCTGGATGCTGAGTTTCTCACATTCCTGCTGGTAAATGGCTTGGAACCAAAAGGCAAGGTCTCCCTGAAGACAACAACTTATGGATGCGTCTCCTAGAATTCCTGCATTGCCAAGAGAGCGGCTTTTCCCATACTACTTAAGCCCCCCCTTGGCCCCTTTTGTGCCCTGAAGCATCTAGGGATCTGTAGTTCAAAAAACCATTTGTTCCTTTACATAGTGGTTGTTTTAAACTACACCTTCCAAAGTTCTCAGCTCCCTGCATAGGAGTGTATGGGCCTACTTAGCTTTGGCTCTCCCCCTGCTGGTCGGAGAAGTATAATGCGGTATAACTTCAGTCTCTAAATATAGGGATGGCATAATAAAGGCAATGTCTCTTTCTACTTATTGTTGTAGTCCAGACCTGGCTACATGGATGCAGGTCATAGGCCATTCATTCCCACTCATCCTCCTGGTCACAGCTCTTTAACCACTTAGTGCCCAGAGCACCTGCTTGCAAAGGTCTGTTATATAGGTAACAGGCAGGGCCTATCCAGCAGAAGCAATAGTAATAAGAGAGTGTCCTAAGAATTAAAGGGGAACACAAGTTCCACCTGCTTACAGGTTGGATTCCTCTAATTTAACTCCAGTAAGCCTTTGTACCTGAAATGATGCTTTAAGCTGTATCTGTACTATGAACCAACTATTCTGGACATACAGTTGGCCCAGGGTCATAAAAGAATGATTTTCATAGCCTTACACATTATCCAAAAAAGAGGGATAAACCCCTTTTTGAAGGATTTGTGATGGATGTAAGACACGCAGATATCTTTTTTAAGGAAGGTTTTGCTGTGCTTCTATCTGGTTAAGTGGGGACTTTTTGTGCAGGCTATACGTTCACCTTTCTTTAAAAATAAATAAATAAAATCACTGCTTCTAGTTTAGTCAGTAAAATAACCGTTACTTAAAATAATTATTCTAATTTATTTATTCTGCAGCTATTCTCATTATCTCACACTGGACAAGGTCAATCTCACACTGACATGAAGTTCTAATGCTACTTTGTGACACATTTTTGACATAACCACCACACCATAATAACCACAAGACAGTCTTGTGTATGTCTGTTTTTTCTAAATACATTTGTCCAAAATCCATCTTATTAACTCACACTGCTAAACTGGTTGCTAAAAGGTTCCTTCAGTTCACTTGTTTTAATGTGACCACATTAGTACATATAGTTGGTTTGTCATATACTTCCACAATACCACAAGATATATCATTAGCCACAGTCTTCCTTTTCAAAGTGTATGTGAGGAAACAAGTAACTGCTATATAAATCATGTCATTTATTGCATTATACAGCCTTGCAATTATAATGTTCCAAAATTGCAGATACCATTGTTGCCATATACTCCTCACCTAGTGGCTTATCTTGCACGCCAGATAAGCACATTGATCCAATATCTTCATCCTTAATAGGGATGAGCTCAGTGTTCAGTCCTACCCTTAGTCTTGACCGAACACTGGCTGTTCACATGTTCATCTGAATGCCAAATGTTTAGAGCAGGGCTTGAAATTTACACTCGCTGCTCGCTAATGGCGAGTGGAAGTTATGCTGGGGCCGTCTTGCTGAGCAGGCTCATAGCTCAGGCCGGATCTGTCATTGGCACTGGGAGCCGTCAGACTGTTCAATAGCTGAGCGCAGTGAAAGCAAAGGAAGGAGTGTGTGCTGTGCTCTCTGCCTCCCCCTAGAGTGCAGTACCCGGATCTGTGAGTGAACAACGAAGTACTGCAACTTTTTATGGTGTGTGTGTGTGTGTGTACATGTACATGTGTGTGTGTTTGTGTGTGTCTGTGTATGCATGTACATATGTCTGTGTGTATGTACTTGTGTGTATCTGTACATGTGTCTGCATGTATGTACATGTATGTGTCTGTGTGTACATGTGTCTGTGTGTGTGTACATGTGTCTGTGTGTGTGCGCATGTACATATATGTGTGTGTTTGTGTGTATGTACGTACATGTGTCTGTGTGTACATGTGTCTGTGCATGTATGTACATGTGTCTGTGCATGTATGTACATGTGTCTGTGTGTATGTACATGTGTTTGTGCGTGTGTATTTCTGTGTATGTACATGTATCAGTGTGTATGCATGTCTGTACGTGCCTGTGTGTGTATACATGTGTCTGTATGAGTGTGTGTGTACATGTGTCTCTGTGCGTGTGTGCAGGTTTCTGTGTGTGTGTATGTACATGTCTGTGTGTGTGTACAGGTGTCTCTGTTTTTGTGTGTGTTTGTTGGTGGCGAGTAACTCTTAACGCCTGGCTAGTAGCTCAGGATTTGAAATTTTAAGCCCTGGTTTAGAGCGCTTGTAAAGAGGGGTTAGTACCCCTTTTAGGGAATCCCCTCCCCTGGGTGGACATAGTGGGAGGGGCTAATCTGTCCTATATAAACTTAATCCAGAAAAAGCCTGGAGCAGAGGGTGATAGGAAAAGGCTATCCCTAGTATACTAATACTGTATAAGGTAGCATCAGTATCTGTGTTGGTTCAAAATAAAACAAAAGCCACCAGCACTATATTCTGATACAAAGAATATAAAACATATACATGTAAAAACGTGCAGCGCTTAACAGCGTACATAATAACTCCAATTGTGTAAATCAACAGACATACAAAAACCATATAAATTATCAATTCAGGTGCAGAAAAGCATAGTTTACAGTCACAGAACAATCATAGAATGTGAAAATAGATCTTCAATCACAAGGAATATTCTTGTATATCCAAGTGCAGCCTTATTCACCCCACTCAATGTGAAATGTCCTTGGGTGCAATCATAGATGATCAAAAACATAAACATGACCAAACACAATCTAGTGCAGTGCGTGTCACCCCACTCGGTGCTCAAGGGAGACTTACTGGAAACATTTGACCATCAAGTTATAGAATGGTCAAACAAGGCATGTAAACAATCAAATGGCAATCACTCCAACTTCCTCCACAGCCTCCAAATAGGTATAGGAAGATATTCCCAAACTCCACATGGATCATCGACATCAAAGGTATAATGGGCATGAATGTAAGACAAAAAGGCTTCCCATAGTATAAAATCCTTAAAACCTTTATTAAAATCAAAGTACTGCACTTACATGTATAGAGATATGACAGCATTGTTAGAATGACAAAAAAAAAAAGCGTGTGCCCACTTCCAAGATGGCCACGAGCACGCACGTATGCATGGTGATGTCCTTTCTAGCTCCAACCAACGCGTTTTGGCAGAAATGACGTTATCAAGGGTCTGCCTCCCACAGCTCCGTCCATCCCCAGCTGGATGGCTCCCCTCCCACTTATGGGAAACCATAGAAGAGGACCATGGAATAGTTGAATGGCTACCCTGTGTTACTGTTAAACTTGCCCTGGTGCAGAATGATGATGTCGGAACTGACAGAGCGAAGGTGAAGGCTGTGTAATGCTCATGGTTCTTCTGCTACAGTAAAATATTAAAAGGCAGGATGTACTCTATCTCATTCCTGAGCAGGAAGATGGTGGGAGGGACCATTGGCCAGTATGGTCATTACTGGTGGCAAAATGGGGTCCCTGCTAACATGTTCAAGGTGCATGAATGTTATACCTTCCAGGTCAATGGTTCCTAAGGAAACAGCATTTTGTATTTTGGGGGTGACTGAACTGATTAAATTGCAAGCAAAAAAAATGCATTGGCGTCTTCTATTTAAAAAAGTAAAACAGCTCACAGACCACTTTAGAGTTCCTCCACAATACATTCCAGACATTGGAGGTCTGTTTGCTGTTTTTTTCCTTTAACAAAAGAAGCAAGGAGTGAGGTGTAATTTGCAGGCAATTTAAAAACTCTTTTTTCCTAATACATTTCCTAATAAATGTCTTCCTAAAATGTAAATTTTAATGTTGAAAGAAAACTGCTCCTGTCTGCATTTTTTAAATAATTTTTTTACATGCCATTTTTTTACACTCTTTTGCCAATTAGCCCAAAAACGTACCCCTTTTTAACAGTTTTGGCTCCCTTTGATTTCACAGGATCAGACAAACACCTCCTGAACTGAAACCATAGCTGTTTGGCTCATCTTTCATCCTTACCTGTACTAGACTGCAATCTCTTACCTGGTCTTGTTTTGTCATGTTTGGTTATGGTATATTGATGATATACTGTTATTCTGAAGTGAGTGAGATTCATATGTTAAATGACCTAACTGACAACTTGAATGACACCATACATTCATTTGAATTATGATTACATTACTTGGAGCTTTGTGTGGTTTAAAAAATAAAACACTGAAGAACAAAGTAAAGGGTGAATTTACAGGCTGTTTGGGGACAAATGATTATACATGAAAACAGAGGTATATCTTGACATATTCAGCAAGTGGTCAGTTGGAAGAATAGAAATCTAACATTTACAGTGGAATCAATAAATCTTGGTAGCTATTGCTACTGAGTAAGTGGCATGGTGGCACCATTATTGTAGAGAGATAATCTGTAAAAAATAAATTAACAATGAGCATTGATGTTCTCTGGCTCTGTATCTGGACATCTGTTGTTAATTGATAACCTTGACGTATTACAGTGTTATTTTATTTTGTTTATTCCTATGTTTGATACTGATGATGCCTTCACCTTCGAGATCCCCATTGGGGGTAGGATCCAAAAGATTATATTGTTTTAGTCTGACCAGTTGGGACCTAGGTGCGCCCGAGGCTTCTTTGGGATCAGAGGGTTGGCTCGACCGCTCACTCTATTTTGTGTAATGTCACCGCACAGTGACAATACGTGAGTTGCTGCTCTGACATGTACTGAGGAATAATCTTTACTGTGTATTTTTTAGAGCTTCAATTATTGATGCATTTCTTTGTCAATGCTGGATTTGCTCCCTGGAGGAAGTAGGGACATGTACCTGGCTATACATATATCTTTTTTGTATAAACCATAATACCTTTGTGAATGATGCAATCTGAACACATATGCACTTGTTATGTCTTGTTCTCTCTTTTTGGAAAGCAAAAAATTTGCAATAAAAATGATTGAAACAGAAAAAGAAATTAATTAATGCTGTCAATCCAAATGTCAGATCTTTTTTTACAATGACTTGTAGTCAGTTTTATTTCTCCACTTGCCGACCAGCAGTTGTACGTTTACTGCTGGCTGGTTGTTCTATTGTTCTGACGGAGCATCACAGGGTTCACACTATAGGTTGCTGATCTCTGCCATTACTAGTGTTGTGTCTGTCTGGATGAGTATCCTGGTCACAGTCAGAACTATACTAGTGTCCCCAATAGTATAGTGTCCCAAAAAGCACAGTGCTAGCAAGATCAGCCCTGATCACTGCCAGCAGTTGCGGTTAGCCCCTCTACCCCCCAACAAATGCAGTGTCAGTATCATTTTTCTTATCACTGCCACCTTTGATACATTGTACAGAATACCACAGTGTTAGCAAGATCAGCCCTGATCTCTGCTACTACTAGCAGTTCATTTTATCTCTAGAGCACAAGCAGCCCCTGATTACTAGCCAGGAGCTCTTTTTCCTATGGTCGCCACTGGGTATCTGTAAAGTTAGTGCCCAAAATGTCCCAAAAAAGGTACACAAGTTAGGAGGAGTACAGGATTTTGAGCATGACACATGAGAGCGAAGGGGGGCCTTGTTATTAAAAGCAGGCACAGAATATGAACCTGTCACAGCCCAGCCTGGGGTTCAGGTGGAAACAGCCAACTTACAGTGTTACTAAACCTACAACAGTAAAATCAGTCTGTATATGCAGTAAAACATGCTTGTTTATACTCACTCTGGAACCTAAGGAGTTAATCTTCTGCATTGTGTAAAAAGGCTACTTGATCTTGTCTTCTCTGATCCTCCCCTTCTTCTACTGTCCCCAATCCCTCTATTGAAAGAACAGAGCCCTGGGGGCAAGCTGCACATGCTCAGTTTGTTGTGTATTGCTAGAGAGTTTTTTTTTCTTGGGAGAGTGCATGTGAGCAGTACAGGGCCAATCAGCTCTGTCCAGACATAGGGTCAGGGGTCCTACAACCTCATAGGACAATCAGGGGAGAATGAAAACTCCTCCTACAAGCTTTAACCAGTGCTTTGCTGGACACTGAAAGAAGTCAAAAGACTTCTCTAACGGCTGATGAGAAAAAGTGTTTAGCAGTTTATATTTACTAAAATAATTGCATTTCCATGTTTTGTGTACTGTGGAAGACTGGATATAGTGAAAGCAGGGTCCTGGGTTTAGTAACACTTTGAAAACGCCCTTTGACCTTTTGGAGCTGCTTTTCACCAAAGACCTCTATAATTTGATTGTGGACCAAAGTAATGTGTTTATGTCCTACTGTACATCGCCACCAACCCAAATTTATACCTTGTCAGGCCATTTGAGTGGACACCTATCATGGTTTCTGAATTAAAAACTTTCTTTGGGCCTAACCCTTAACATCGGCATTGCAAGAAAGAATGAATTGCGGTCATATTGGTCCACAGACGTGATCATCATATGCCCGTGTTCTTTGCTGCAATGGCCAGAAAAAGGTATGAGACAATAATGCATTTTATGCATTTCTCTGACAATAATCTCTGTCTTCCGCAGTGTGACCCTGACTATGATCAGCTCCACAAAAATTCATCCCCTCATAAATGACCTGTCCCAGAAATTTGCAGATGTGTATACACCCCAACATAACATCTGCATAGATGAGTCCCTTGTACATTTTACTGGCAGGCTATCAATCAAGCAATATCTCCCCTTTAAGTGTGCCAGATATGGGGTCAAAATGTTAAAGCTCCATGAGAGGGCCACAGGCTATTATTACGGCTTTACAATTTTTTCGAGGGAGATGACAGTCAAGTTGAGCCCCCAGATGCCCAGACTACATGGGGAGCAGTAGTAAGGTAGTGTGGGATTTGTTGTCACCCTTGTTCCATATGGGTCAACATTTGTACATGGACAACTTTTATGCAAGGGTACCACTTTTTAGATGTTTATTCCTTCAAAAAATTGGCTGCTGTAACAGCA